GAAAGGAAGAAAGTGAGGACCTCCCACAGAAGGTGAAGAGCAGGCTGTAGCCAGGCGGGAGGTGGAAAGAGAAAGGAGCCTGAGAGACGGGGAGCCTGAGGGAGAGGCAAGGCCTGCTCCCGCCCCTTCCCTGGCCTGGCCACACATCTCGCTTTAGTAGGTTCCTGCCCAGGCTGCCAAGTCATCTCCATCTGAATGCGGCTTTTGAGCGCCGGCTCTTTCTAGCAGCCCCTTTTCTCCGTGGTGGGTTTAAAGATTCTGGTTTCAGTGTTGACCCACTTGGCTTGTAGATTGCATCTGATTTACCACATTTAGTGGACGCGTCTGTTTATGGGCAATTTCCTCATTATGAAAGGTCCTCTCCTTTTTTTTGTTTTCTCCAAAGAAAGACCTTTTTGTTTTGCTAATGAAGTTCTGTGAAACCGGTGGAGTTTGCGGGGATGTGTGCCTGTAGTTTAACTTTTGAGAAACTGCTATTGTTGCTTCTAAGTGCACCTGGATGTCTAATAATGTGTTTTATTTAGCAAGCCATCCTGGAAGTCTAAAGGTTATTCTTATTTTATCTTTAAGCTGGTATTTTTCTTCTTAATATTTGCCTTAAACAATTTCCCCCTAGAATTGAACGTCTGCATGACATATATCGACATATATATCAATAGAGGTATCTGTCTATAAATATATACACTAACATATCAAGCTCTATCTCAATCTACTCTATCTCCACCTCTATCTCTACCTCTCTAGCATGTATGTAATTCTGCCTTTCCTCTCCTCCAGCAAGGACATAAATCGTGCAGTTGATGATAATATGCTCTATACTATAGAATGGTTAGCCTACTCCTTACATGGAGAAATCTCCCCATCCTGTGGTCTTTTAGGATATTGCTACTGAAGTGAAAGCCATGCTATGATCTTGCAACTATAATCACGAATTAATTTTATAAGAAGAGGATGATTCTTTTAAAGGAGAATCTTGGTAGATTCCTATTTTTACAGCTCATACTATTTCAGTTTAGAAAAAACTGTGTCAGTCATTATTCTCAGCATCTTACATGGGCCATTTCATCATTCCAGTAATTCTGTAAAATAGGGACGCTTACATCTCCATTTCATAGAGGAGAAAACTGAGGCTTGTCCAAGATCACAGAGACCATGACAAAGTTTGATATTGAATTGAGGGTCAAATTCAGTCCTTGGATAAGGTATTTCTTCCCTCAGGTCTTGCACATAAAATTCACAAACAAAATGTCATCTGGATTAATATAATTACATTAATTTCTGTTAATTGAGAACCAACAGTGTGTCACATACTGTCCAGATTCCTTAAATATTCTTCAGTATTATTTCGCCATTCTATCAAAGTCTTCATGGTGAGAGGTTAGGAAACATTAAGGCCAACAGCTACCAACCACCAAAAACATTCTGTGACTTGAGGTCATTCCTGTTCCAAAGCTTGTATGGTTCCCATTATTAATCACCGAGGCTATAAGAAATCACCCAGGAAATGTGAGCTTTTCTCCTTAGCATATTTGGTAAGATTAGCTACAATTAATATACCTCTGCACCAGCAGACCCATCTCCCCAAGGGTAGACAAGAGACAGATGGAGAGATCTTAATGTTTCTCTCATAGAATTCAGGTTTGCTTTTAGCAGCTATTAAGTATTAATTAAGAATTAATGCACTCCCCATGTGTCTGCTCTGAGAAAAAACACAAATGGCTTTTTGGAATTACTTAGATCTAAAGTGCTTGAAGAGTGAGTCTCATTTTGATTGAATTAACTAGAGATGTTATCTGAAAAGAATTATCTCAATCATATATCAAACACTTAAAACAAATACAAACTTTTCCTGCCTGCCTTCATTCATTAATTCATATTTACTTATTCTGTAAGTATTTCCTGAACACTTACCATGTGTAAGGCACAGTGCTTCCTTACCTTATAATCTGGCAGCAAGTGAATGCCATGGCGAGCGAGCTACAGTATTGGAGCAAGGAGGGGAAAGCTCAGTGCGCGTCTAGAGGAGGGTCTGAGGCTCCTGCCCAGAGAAACGCGAAGAGGCTTTCTGGGAGAGCTAGCAAATGTGCTGACCCCCTGAGGCCGGGGGGCGGGGAGAGTGTGAAAGGTAAAAATGGCAAAGACCCTTGCAGAGGAGGAGTCCCGTGCGAGGGCAGGGGGGAAATCAGGAACAGGGACTGGCGAAGTGAATGCAAGCTGTGGCCCAAAGACAGGCTGGCGTTAGACTGCGGGGCTTTGAGTGTGACGGCCAGGAGTGTAAGGTTCACTTGTAAGCCAATGGTCCTCAGAGGGAGAGCTCCCAGTCCAGCAGCAGCGGCATCACGCCGGGCCCCACCTCGCACCTGGCGAGAGCTCGCACCTGGCGAGAGCTCGCACCTGGCGAGAGCTCGCACCTGGCGAGAGCTCGCACCTGGCGAGTCCGCCCCCTGGGGCGGGGCCTGAGCAACCTGGAGTTCAGCAGCCCCTCCAGGTGAGGCGGACGCAGCCCAGGCCTGGGAACCGGAGCGCGGCGAGCCCCGTGGGACTGCTGTGTGTGCTGTGCCCGGAAACACTCCTGTCCGCAGTCCTCAGCGGGCCGCCAGGCCCCGCGGAAGCGGCGGCCCCCGGGAGTGACCGCCGCGGGCGCCAGCAGCCTCACTCTCCTACCCCGGGGTCCCGCGCTCCTTGGATGGGAAAAAGCAGCACTGGGGCAAGCCCGGCAGAGGCCCGTGCGCCAAACCTGCCACGCGGGACACCCCTGACCCCACAAGCGGAGAATGACTTGTCCATTTTTAAAGGGTTACAAAGGAAGAAACGGAAGAGGAAGAAGAAGAAAAAAATGATGAGGAAGGAAGAGGAGGAGGAAAGGGGGCACCAGGAGGAGAAACACCGCGATGAAATGTGGCCTGCCCAGCTGGTGTTTGCTGCCCGATCCTCTATAGAAAACGCTTGCTGACCCCGGTGCAGACGAGGAGAAACAAGGTTCTCAGTAACTGAAGAACTCACAGAGTCCGTCCCGTTCGGCAATCTCCCGGGGTTTGTTTTGGAGTCGTTTTGAGAGCAGTACCATGGTGAAAGCATGAACTCTGGAACCTCTTGTCTAGTGTGGAGAAAAACAACCCATGTTTGAATGCTTAGTGGGTGTTTAGATTTATCTCCCTAATATTTAGTTATTGTCTCAAACAGTGCTAGGCACCGGAATCACCCAGTTATCTTCTTAAATGCCAATTCCAGTTTAGTAGGTCTGGATGGGGCCTGAGAGTGTTCACTTCTAAGAAGTTTCCCGCGGGGGGAAGCACACTCTAAGTAGCAAAGGTCTAGGCTGAACCCCAGTAGGTTATTTGAAAAAACACATTTTTAAAGTCACATATGAGGCATGCAAAATAATTCTTCCTTCCACAGAAATCAAAGGCGCCTTTTCTGCTGTAAAACATCCAACGGTTCACCAAAGTGCACCGGCCCTTGCTGGTGGTCACTGGCAATTCTGTCAGGATATGGAGTGAAGGGGAGAAAAGGAAGGTAATGAATATGGTGGGTGGAGAAGACATGACAGATCCTCCCACAGTGACCAGAAGCAGTCTAGCCTCATGGTTTGGGGACTCACATTCTCTTAGACTTCAAATCCCGGCTCCCCCACTGATCAGCTGTGTGACCTTACACAAATTAGTTCACCCTCTGCCATGACTCCTCATCCATAGATGGAGATAAAATTCCTCAGAGAGTACTCATAGGGAGTAAGAGGCAATATCAGAAAATACTGTTAATGCCATAAACTATAAGGAACACTAAGTAATGGTATCTTTAATTATTGGAGATAAAAAATATATCAGCCTGAGATGCAAAGGAAGCTCTCTAAACACCACAAATCTTAAGCAAACAACCTAAACATTTATTAATGTTACTAAAGGACAAATGGCCCCAAATAGAGCTTTAAATATACTTGTTGGTCCATAAGGATTTGTATCTTAAATATTTGGGATTCCTTCCAAAGAAATCACATGTGTGTAATGGGGGACATTAGTAAGTGTTTGTTTTTTGACTCTAAAATACATATTGTCTTTGTTGTTTAAGGGTTGTATTAGATGGTGGATAGGCTTTGTAATATTTAGAAAAGCAATTAGAAGGCAGAAGGCTTATAGCTTCCAAAGGAAATATGTATTTTATGTCTAATTGTATTTCAGAATTAAAATATGGCCTTTGAAATCTTTTTCCTATTAAGTGGAAATTTATCATAGAATCACACTCGAAGTAAAAAGTTCAGTTAAATGTCATGTATCTGATGAGTACATACATTTTTATATTTTAATGGAGTGCTTTGGCACCGCGGAAGCAGTCTGAGAGGTGTCACATACCGTGCGAATTATTCTTAATTGAAACTCTCTAGGTCTTCACCTTGATTTGATGCCCTTTGCTTCTTTATTATTCTCAGCTGTTACCTTATTCACCTTGTTCTTCACAAAGCTTTCCTTTCCATGGTGCTTCTGCTCCATGCTACATAGATGTAGTAGAAAGAAGAAGGGGTCTTTGGTGCCAGAGAGACCTAGAAGCAAATCCAGGCTGGAGTCCGCCACCTGAGACCTGACCTTATGCGCTTTCTCCGAGACTTGGTTTCTTTGCTCATATTGATAACCCACTTTCCTGGATTATTGAGGATTAGAGATAATATGTGTTAAGTGTTTTCACAGAGGCTATCCATAGAAAATAGGCAATGAGTATGAGCTTCATTATGATTTGTAAAGGAGGTATCAACTCATGTGCAATCCACTCTAAGAAGTCTTCCTAGAAGCCTGGAAGATGGAAGCAATTTTTACCTTTCTTAATACCCAGAGCTGCATTTTACTCGCACCGGGTTACTTTTATATGTGCCATTTTGGTTATTTATGTGTATGAATATCTCCACTATAAGAGATGAAATTTATAGAGCTAAGATTCAGGTTTCCACATTCCTCTCTGCAACATGCATTTAGCCAGGAGCTTGCGAATAACAGCCGCAATAATAAATGTTCAATGAATAGTTTTTTAATAGAGCAAAGACCATTTTCTGACAGAACTCATATCAAAACTGATATCTACCTGATTTTCCCTGATTCCCCCAACTCTTCAATGCCCCACAAAACTGAATTATATCAGACACCAAATGTTTCACAATATTTTCCCTCAAGTATGATTTATTGAACAATCATATGTAATAGGAAATACAGAGAATTACAGCAGAGTAAAAACACAAGAATTGTAGCTTGTCATGTTAAAAATGAAATAAAAGAGCTACTGGTTAAATAAAAAGGCATATGAGATTGTTAGATATATGTTGTGTAGCTGAGAATAAAAATGCAAAGCCAGACATGGGAGACAGAACTGCCGACTCACCCACCCTGGCTTCAGGGCGGACTCGGGCTACACTGGTGTGTGCGGAAGGGATGGGCACTGGGGACCTCCGCGCTGACTCCCGCCAGTTGGCACTAATTCGTCGCTGTCTTAGGGAGAGAGAAGGCAAGAAAGAAGGGAGATGAGAAGGAGAGAAGTAGAAAGGGGAGGGGGAGGAGGGAAAGGAGAGAGGAAGGGAGATGAGGAAGAGAAAAAGTGCATCAACAGCGTGACAATTCTTCGGAAGAAGTGGAGCGTGTTTTCTCCACTCCCTCCAGAAATTCAGTCACGGTGCTTTATAAGTTAAATAACCTGGAAAATTAGGGGAGAGGCCATATACAGAAACTGATGAATCCATTATATTTCTCTCTCTCTCTCTCTCTTTTTTTTTTTAGTAACAAAGTCTATAGGTCCTAAAGTATCAATAGGAACAAAGCGGACAAGTTTCCTATGACCCTTGAGAAGCAGTCTCAATTTACTTCTCCCTGGAGAGATTCTCTAGCTCTACCGAAAGACAACTGGCTCAAATAAGAACAAAAGTAATTACACTTCCCAAATAGTCAGATTCTATTTTAAATGCAGAATATTTCCTAGCTGGTAAATAGCTATTTTTAAAAAGACATTGAAAGCAGTAGTTATAATTTCTTCATAAATAGAAATAAAAAGTCCATTGTTAAAAGACAAAAAGTCACCATGATGTACATATCTATAAATCTCCCCCAACACGCCATCATAGATCAATTTGTACTGCTTACGTTTAAAATACCAATTGCATTATAATGTCTATGATACAAATCAATTCTTTAGCTGAGTTCTACACAAGATTCAGGTGAACCAAAAACTAAGGACCTTATTCACAGAACATTTAAAAGCATTTTATACACAGTCTATGCACAAATATATCTTAAATTAGAACAATGCATACCTAATATGCATATAGAATATGGCTTACACATTAAAGGAGATCTAAGTTGTGGGTTCTAAAATCCCACCACTCAGACTTAAAAGCTTCTGATTTCATCAATTTTTAAAATATTGCTTAGCATTGTGGAACCCAAGAAAAAAGCAGGTGCAACAGAAAACTGATAGTATGGATGGATCCTCCTTCACTTTGTTCTTTAATTGATGGCTACTTTCGATTTTTTCCATCCAGTTTCTACCTTTCACAAAGATAGATTCATCTCAGAATCACTGAAGTGTTTGCACAGTGAAAAGTTACAGCCCCTAATTGTGCTTGACCTTTCTTGTCAGCTAATAACTAACAAAAGCTGTTCTTCAGTTTGGAGCAAAGGAAAGGCTCTGCACATGCTCAGGCAAAACATGACAAGCAAGCTGAGTTTCCAAGAGTTGCAGTCTGTTTCTGTGTAGTAAAATTAAAAAGTCAAGCCAAATAATATTATCTGTACAGAAAAGTGTGGGTTTCCATTTTCATAGATATTTTTCAATACACACACACACACACACTTCTTGTCACTTATCCTGGGCCTGTAATATATTTTGTTATGTCCTAGTGGGATCAACACCCCAGAAGGCAAATTCCATTCTCAGTTCTAACACCTGTCTCCAACAATGGCTGAAGGTTCTTGTCATCCTGAAGTGTAGGTAATATGTGATTTGCATTGTGATGATCCCCATATGGGTGACATTTCACGCTTTGAAACCACAGGGTGGTCCGCTGGTTTCAGGGATGGGTTTCACTGTGGTTTCCCAGCTTGAGAGTTACAATGGTCATCAGGTCGCAGAGCCAGGCTAAAGCTCCACTGTTGTCACAGGACTTCAACCACAGCTTCTGAACAGCCTGACCTCTCATGTTGCTTCCGTGTATTTAAAATAAGGACAATCTAAATAGCCTGTTCTTCAGAGCTGCAAAAAAATTGTTTTCCATATTTTTGCTTTGCTTTCCTTTTACTTAAAACCTTGCAATATTGGTAACTATAGAAGTCTGCATAAAACAATACAAGAAAGAAAATTTTTAAAATGCCTCATCTTTTGCCCATGTGTCGCAAGGTCACCCTTGCTATAACTGGGTTCAGAGTGTTGAAAATATTAAACTATCCACCTTTTGTCTTAAAAATTTCTCAGACTTGCTTGAAAAAGCTGGATCAAAACAATCAAAACATTTCCCCCAAGACTGTTTTTTGGAGGAAAGACAATGGCAGAAATACTGGCCAAAAACTCTGATGGCAATTTTGAATGTATTTGTTTGGCCGGAGGTACTGGCTCAGAATTTATGTTCTTCTTAGTATAAGTTCCTTCTAGGAGCCCATTAAAATGGCCTGATCCAGGTGTGTGCTGAAAAAGGAGAACATAACGTTGTGGAATGTTGAGGATTTAGGATGTTTTAGTCCTGTTGTCATTATCCTGAAATAAAATCCAAATGAAAATGAAGATCAAGTTTTAGTCATATACATGCATCAATTACTGTGTGGTAATGTCACATGGACTTTATATACCTTGTCAGAAATAAGGGATTTATCAGTGTATAATAGATAATTGGTTTTCTATCTTCTTAGAATTCCTCTTCTTATTTCTTCTCTTTGTGTATATGTGCATGTGTGTGTATGTTTGTATATTTCAATTCCAGTAAAAATTTGGATTGTTTGGATCAGAGGTCACAAACCCAAGGAGCTATACAAGCCTAGAAGACAGTATAAATGAGGTAAGTGGGCCTGTGTGAGTCACAAGGACTGTAGTGAACTCAAGAGCATTAAGTCCTGTTTAAAGATATTTAAAACGATATTTTAAATCAATGTGGGAGTCAACCAAGCAAGTGCACAGACTAAATCCAGCCCACAAGCCATCAGGCTTTGACCTCTTCTTGGACGGTACACTCAACACTAAAGAGCAGGCATTGGTAGGAATGGGGAACACTTCCCCCACCAGGGAGTACCAGGTCTGATAATCGTTTGCTCTTGGAGCACCAGAAATCTCTGGCATATCCTTCAAGGAAAACAATATAATAAATTATATTCCAGCCTCTTTTGAAATAATAAAGCAGCATGGCATTTTATATCCAGTTCCAATCGCATTCACTCTAATTAACAAAAACATTTTGAAAAAGTAATCAAAACAAAATAGTTCTGTGGACAGAAATGTCTTAGAAATAATAGTGAAGTTATACGGCAATGTGAAAAGTAGATTCAAAGGTTGATTTCTTGCCCTAAGTATAGTGTTGCACATTGATTGATGAGGTTTCATCATGGTGCATGTTGAATTAGACTTCAATGTTTCCTGAGAAAATATCCCATACTGGGGCCCACACACTGAGAATGAAGTAGGTAATGGCTCTCAGAGATATGGCCAGGCTGCCATAAAATCTATACTTTCCATGATGGAGGCCAGTGAAAGAATTAGCTAGAGGTCATAAAGGTGTGGTTAATACCTGGGAGCCTGTAGGCAAAATCTGACCTTCACATATATTTTGTTTGGTCTACACAGGGTTTCAAAAAACTTTGAGCCAACATTAAAAATGGAAAGATTTTACATAAAAAAAAATCTCTTAGCCAATGGAAACACCTGGAAACACTGGTCCCTAATTTGTACATGGTGAAAATTTGTTGGAGGCAAAGAGTGGCTGGCTGCCACCTTCAGCTCAGGTGTACTGTGTCCTTTCTGTTTCCAAGGCTGACCACTGCTCTCGTCTCCCAGATCCTGGGCCTGAGTCACAGTTACCAATTGTCCCCACTCCTGTTGGTTTTCTACTTCCCCTATTTAAGAGAGCTGCCTATCTCTTGAAGGCATATAAATTTCACCTACTAAAGGCCATGATTTTTGGAAGACTGACTGTGCACTGAAGGCAGAGCTTTCTCAAACTGAGAAGTAAACTATAGGATTTGGTTAGTGCTGATGGAAAGAAAAATTGTCTAACAGCCTGCTTGAGTTTGAACACCACTATTTGAGTGGGTCTCAAATCCTTCCAGCTTCGGGGTCTTTTTAGTTGAAAAAAAGAAAAAAGAGGCTTCATTAACTGCCAGTTGAATCCCACTGAAACCTTTTACTGATGAGATGCCAGAATTTTACAGATATATATGTTTTTTGCCTTAGACATCTTCATAGATTGGACAGTCATTTTTACCAATGTACTGGTGACCTGTGTTCCCTGCACATAATTTTTGGAAAATGTTCCTAAGTATTCCAGTTCCATATCGCAAATGCATAAGAAATGCTTCTTGTAGACTTCTTTTCTTTTGAAGCTACATAATGTGCACTGGATTGATGACATCCAGTAGGAAAGACTCTTGCTTAATTTTGATTAACTCTGTGTCCTAATGGTATTTATTTGACCAAAAAACAAAACAAAACAAAACAAAAAAACCCCTACAAAACAAAACAAAAAAACAAAAACTTTTTGTACTGAAAACATTTATAAATACTCCACTGAATTTAGTTTTCCCTAAAATATATACCTGGAGGGTCCATCATATATCATCAGAACCTAAGAACTCCTCTGAAACAGCCATGAGTTCCAAAGGTAATAAATTTATAGTCTGGGTGGAGGGTATAAAGGGAAATTGCTATAGCTAATATGGGACAATATATTAAAATTGTTAAATATAGACATACATGGGTTTTAATTGCTGCACAGCCACTCTGTTGGCTTGATTTCTACCCAAGCTTCATATGTAAAATAGGAATCACAATCACCAATTCTGAAATTGTTGAGAGGACTAAGTGAGATTAATACATGTAAGATGCTCACCACAGGGCCTGACACTTGAGAGTAGCCATTAATGAAACTACTGTTATCAATAAAAGACAGTCTTACAACCAACTCAAGAATACCGCGAGATATATCATCTTAAAAGCCAAACACAGTTTAACTCTTTTGTATCTAAAGCAATATGTGAGGAGCTACCAGTAACATTTAAAAGACTTTGTATATGGTCCCTTCAGCATTTTCTCTTGTCCCCACCATCACCCGAAAAGCAGGACTCATTATAACATGTGAGTTTTCTTTCTTACTTTTTAAGGAGACACTAAGACATCTCCACTATAAATATACATCCTTCCCTTCCAGTAGCTTGCCCTTCCCCTGTAGGCCCAAGACAACGGTTCTCAACTGTAGGGTACAGAAATACCACAGACAGGATTATTAAAAATTCCGATTTCCAAGGCTTCATTCCCAGAGTTAGTAATTTGGTGGATTGAGGGCAAGCCCTAGAAGCTGAATTTTTAAAAAGAGAACAACTGATGCAAACAAATGTCTATAGATTTTAGCAAACATTGATGTTTGTTTCATAATATGTACTTGCTTTGCTATTATCATCCAGTGTAAACATTTGTATTTCCTACATGAAGTAGAAAGAGAGATCAGGATTAAACCTCTCCACAGCCTACAGATTATTATTTTTAAAGGACTAAAATGTCTCACTAAGTATATTTTTTATTGATGAGCAAATTAAGCTCTTTGAAAAAGTAAATATGTAAGACTTTGCTTCAGAAAATAGGAGAGATTTTTTTTTAAAAGATTCCAGGAGGACAATGAAATGAGATAACTTTGTCTCTAATGATATTCTACAAACCATTCATTTCAGAAATTAGGTTTCTTGTCTAAAAAATAAAATTACCTCTCATGTTTAAACTCACAGAAGCCTTCAAGGTATTTCAAACCTATGAATGTGTATCCGCATGTTTTTCTTCAGTGTTTACTACATCTTCTGAGTTCTTATGAAGATCTGATTCACCTACAACACAAGCAAACAAAAACAAAATAAGCCTGTGGAAAAAAACTAATAAGGTCAGGAACCTAAAGCAATTTAGTCACATGTTGAAGATTCAGTTTTACAATGGATTTTGTGGTACATTTCTCCAAAGGTACTAAATACTTTCTTTCCAGACTACGGATTTATAGAGTACAACAAGGCATCTTCTGGTGGTTATATAACGTTGTGAAGTTGCAATTTATTCTGGTAATACAGAACTGAAATAGATGGGACATGTTTAAACATTTATTAAATCAAACATAAAAATTATGCATGCTTTTCTTGAAATTTGGGGGGGAGGACCAGAGGGAGAGGGAGAGAGAGAGAGGATCTTAAGCAGGCTCCAGGCCTAGCACAAGCCCGAGGTGGGGCTTGATTCTCACAACCCTGAGATCACGACCTGAGCCGAAATCAAGAGTGGATGCTTACCCGACTGAGTCACTCAGGCACCCCTTTCTTGAATTTTCTAAAACAAGTTGTTTTAAACAAATGCTCTAATGATCAGTGTCTTTTACCACACACCCCTTAGTTGCTATGAATTTAAACAAAGGACTATTAAGAGAATAGTAATTTTTAAGATAAGACATAATCTGCCAAAACACCCTAATGGAATTTATAATCCAAGAATCACTCATCTTGTATATGAACCTTGAAGAAAAAAACATTAACGTGGAAAATGTGCCAACATTTCTAGAGAGGTTACAGAGAATCTATCAAAAATAAAAATATAAAGCAAAGTGTATAGATAAGAGAGTCTTATGTGAAAAAGAAAGTAAACAAAATTAGCAGAAATTGATTTTTGAGTCAGTTACTCAAAATACTTTGATATTTCAGGAATTAGTCATATATGATGGCATGCTCTTTCTGTTTGAAATTTGATCAAAAATATACTAAGAATTAAGGGCGTCTGGGTGGCACAGTCGGTAAAGTGTCTTGCTCTTGGTTTCTGCTCAGGTCGTGATCTCAGGGTCGTGAGATCCAGCCCCAAGGGGCCTTCTGCACTCAGCAAGGAGTCTGCCTAAGATTCTCTCTCCCTCTCCCTCTCCCTCTGCCCCTCTCTGCTCCGCTCACGCACTCTTTCTCCCTCTCTCTGTCGCTCAAAAAAAAATATATATATGTGTGTGTGTGTGTGTGTGTGTGTAAATTAACAGTTAAGCTTTACACCAGTTATCTTTGACATAATTTCTTTAACATATATTGTAAGCCTGTTGTCTCAGTTGCAACAGATTTTTTTATTGAGGTTATAAAATTAATATATAAATCTTATGGGGTGTTAGTACAAAGCAAAATTATTTTGTTTCCTGCTTTCTCTTTCAAATACATTCAAAGGGGAAAGTTATCTTCTATCCCAGGATGAAATTTTCAGGTAGTATCATCACTTTTGCAATCATCTTTAGACAATAAAAATATTGTGTGATCCCATTAAGTTGCCAAAGTCTCAATTCTGATATTAGATACTCTGGTCACATATATTACACATCAATCTTAAAACAAAGATCATAGAAGATTCCTTTCCAACTCTGAGTTTGTGGCAGAGCCCAGAAATGGTGTATGGCTGGGGGATGGTTGATGTTTCCGTTTCACTCTCCCGCAACAGGCTGCCTTGACTCCTGAGCCGGAGCAAGGGAGAAAAAGGGCTGAGAGGAGAAGCCAAGCTCCTACCTGACCAGCACCGTGGTAAGACGGCTTCGTACTCGCTAGACCTGGCAGGTGTTTGGAGCTAATTCTCCTGTGAACACATTCACAGGCTCTTCAGGGACTTCTTGCCAGAGGCCATGGCTAAAGATGTCTCACCACCTTGCTATGTGCACGTGAAACTCGGGTTCCTGTACAGTGTTCACAGCCCCCGGGAATTCTATTATTGTATCTTTAGCTTCTGTCTGCTGAGGTCCCTTCATCCTTCCAAATATGGGTGGACCACATTTGGTTCACACAAAACACTCATGAGGCAGTTGTTCCCATAAATTACGTGAGGGAAGACTGAAACATACATAGCCGCCTCTCATATGGCTCATCTGTCACCAGCTACTCTTTTACATTTCACTTAAGAATTAGACTCCATTCCCAATATCCCTGAGGGTCCTGGTGCAGTTCTCTTCTCTTGATTTGAGCTAAAGAGGGAAGCATTTCTACACCTTTCCCAACAGCAGATAGCTTCTTAAAGAAAATCTTCTCACAAATCCTTTCAACCATTAACAACCTGCCCCTTTCATTTGTTTGAGTTGGGTAAGGATCATAAGCATCCCATAATTGGCTTTGAATCTTCTTTGAAATTCCTGTCTCACAGGATTTATTTCTGACATCTTAGACTCTTGGCTTAAACTTCTGATTTAATATTCTGTTACTTAGGACTAGATTAGAACAGAACAGAGTGAAAAGAATAGGCTGAACTAAAAGAGGAATATAACTAATTCACTGGTTCTTAAAATTTTTGAGAGAACCTTTTACAATGGGAAAAACACTAAGGATAAAGAACTCACCAGTAACAAAAGTGGATGAGAAACAAAATCATCAAGTGGGAATAATACAGCAATTACAATTTACAATCCTTGTTAAAATTAGTCCATATGTATTCTAACATGAACATATTGTTATATATTGGTTTATTACATCAGTAATGAGTGATCTGAGTAAGAAAGAATATAAATTAATGCATAAGAATGACAAATTTTATTATTATTAATAGTATTAGCAGCAACAGCAAAAACAGTAAACATTTAGAGAATATTTACACTATGCTAAGTGCTTCATATATTTTACCATTTAATTCCCCCCCAACAATTTTTATTGCCCAAGGTCACGTATCATCTAAGGAGAAGAGCTGGACCTTCAACCCCCGAGCCATGTCCTTCACTACTAAACCAAAGAGTTTGATCACACAGTGCTAACACCCGAACCCAAAGGGACAAGTTTCCATTGGGTTTGAAAGAGTAAAAGCATTCCTTGTTGCTTGGAGAGATACAATTGCAAAGTTTCAAGTTGAGAAGTGTAGAGTAAACGTCATTTTTCTGACAAGCTACTAGGATTCAAAATTCAGTTCTTCAGAGAAGAATGAGTAGTTTGTTAGTAAGAACTGTGAGAAGCATTTTCTAAGAAATAAAACTCTTTTTACTGCCACTCTGTGTAGTAAAACCTGCAGTAGGAGACGGCTAAGGACTCAGATACCAGGGTCACACAATCCTACACTCAGGAGGATTTCAAAGCAAAAGGCTACAAGAAGGAATCAAATGTTTTCTTGTTAATACCATGGAGGAGAAATAATGATTTGTGACTCCAGGAGTAAACTGTTCAATTTAAAATTCAACATAAATATGTGACTGGGGTGAGTTTCTATGCTTAAAAAAATCAAAAGCTGTGCATTAGTAAAAACTCTGTTACCATTTTTGTGTCAATGATTTCTGACTCTCCACCCTGCAGTATCACAACCAATCATCCATTGTAGACATGAGGGATTTCAAATTGCACTGTTTTCCTTGCATATTCATCCACAACAAGAGCAATAAATTGGCTCTAACCTAGAGACGGCAAACATCACAAGTTTCCTAATTTTTAGTGTTTATGATCAAATTCTTCAGTGGAGAGAAGACTTTTTTTGTATGAGTTTCCATCTACAGAAGAAAGAGTCAGGAGAGTATGTCCCCTTTGATTTTGTTCTTCATTTTCCCCATGGAGATGAAAACTACTTACAATCTTCATCAAGCTGAATATATAATTGTTAGCAAGTAGTTACCTGCTGCAGAAAGCAGATTTGGTAAATACTGGTGGTATGCAGAACCTAAAATTCTAGGAGTCTTTAGATGTTCCTAATAATAGAATGTAAATGTTGTTTGACAAATTTGTAGACTGGTTGGATTGGGGAAAACTAAACCCCAAACAAATAATTATTTCTTCCATCTTATTTAGCTTTAAGTCACAAATCTCAGAGGGCTTAGTTGGTAGTTATCTTGACTAAGGTTCAAAAATCAGCCAAAATAGAAGCTAGTTTCACATATCCAGCTATCCTTTAACCTGGGATGAGAAGGGTTAGTGCTCTTTAAAAATGCCTTCCATGATATTTTTTTCCTCTCCTATGTACATCCTCCCATCTAACTTAGGCTGGCTGTGAGGAGAGGCTATTTGAAGGGATGTGTGGAGAGTGTCTCATCTACTTAGAGTTTTTAAAAGTTGTAGTGGAATAAATTGCTTTTCTTGGTCGTAATGCAAGTTGTTCCTATTACAGTATGCTTATAAATTGTAAATCCATGCTTTAAAATAAAAGCACTTTAAGCAATTAGTCACACAGCACTTTATTGATCTACAACATTTAGCCAGGATTGTGGGGAGTGATGCAATCTTTAATCTATCAAGACTCATATAACAGGATTACTCTCATGATGGAGGTGAATTTATTTAAAATAAATCATGGGTGCTCTATTATTTCTACATTACTAACATCAAAACTATTATCTTATTCTTGTTGAACTTCTTATTTGATGAGATTTCTATTTCTTACCAGTCTCTGGATTTTCTTTAATCAGCAGACTTGCTCAGCATGTTTTAAAGAAGCCTAGCCCAAGATGGAAGGGTGATTTGGGAACATAGGACCCTTCTGAATGAGTCCCATAAGTTAATATTATTGAATGGGTCTTTGTCCTGAATACCTCTTTATTTCCACAAAAGTGTCCTGATACAAATCAAAATTAGTCAAGACTTCCAACATCACTCACTACCAGTTGTCTTGCTAAAGAATGAGCCTATGTTGGGCTTCAAAGAGGTTACGGAAATGAAGTTTCGACATTAGATTCTTGAAGATTTTCACCATTTCTTCTTGAAGGCTTATGTATTAAATCCTACCTGAAGAGATACCTTGGATCATTTTTATTTACCTTCATTTTTTCATAATTTCTTCATAGAAATTAAATATATGAAAGAAAGGTCAAAGATTTCAGCTATGTTTTTTTTTCATGATTTCTGAGAATTCCCTACATTCCTATAGTTAACAA